TTGGTGAATTCCTATTCTCAGTTTTTGGAACTCTAATGGAAGAGAGGCATTTTCAACTCTTTTTTTAAAGCTACTAGGGAGGATTTTGTTAAGATTCTTAACATAATGGAGGAGGTTATAAGATTGACAAAAAAACTAGGGAGAGGTTTTTTATATTTTACCCTTTCCAATAAGGTGGCTTTGATTTAACCTTTCCAAATAGGAGCATAATGTACTTTTGATTTATTATATTTTCCCTAACTAAAAACTAAAAGAGCTGGGTATCCAATTGGACCCAAATTTAATGGGTTTTAACTCTATGAAACATCAAAATAAACTTTATGCACATCATTGTTGAATTGGGCCATTCAGTTCCACAAGTTAAACTCTCATTTTGCCTCAGTCTTTTGTATTAGAGTTCGACTATGATACCAAAAAGGCATGACACCAAACACACTTGTGAGTTGCAGCCAATCAACTAGTATCATAAAAGTGATAATTAACTAATCAAATGGTTATTTATCAAATTTATGGGAGGGTTTTGATTCATCAAATCCCTCTCTACAACATAATTTTTTTCCTTTGTAATAACATTGAATTCAATATATTAAGTAGGACCTTAAGTTTGTGAGAATTTCACTTACAATATCTATGGATTTAAGTACCCTTAAGAGAGAGAAGCCCAACTTATGCTTTGTGGTCTCTTAATCTGTATTGCATAGCCCAACGTAAGTTTAATGTATGAATACACCCAAATGTATGATAGGGGTGTATCGATGCATTTTATTTTTTAGTTGTTTTTCAAAATTCTATTTTTATACATGTTTTACATTATTTAATAAATAAAAAATGATTTTCTAAAAATGCATTATAAATAAGTATATTGGAAAACAAAAATTATGATATGATACGATATGATATGCCAGAGGGGATTGATCTCGATCTCGTTGGTTAGAGACTGCCTAGGTGAATTTTGATGAATTTTCATTGATTAGTGTTAACTTAGCACATTACCTGATATAGAATCACAAACCATGTAGTTTATTCACACCAAAACGGTCCCAAAAAACTATTATAATTTATACAGGATACCTACTCTCCTAGCACTTGGTTATCAGGTTATGTGCTTATATAGTCTAGTTGAGGGGTTATGGGCATGGGGGAGGGGGGAGGGGCTCCCAAAAAATTGCCCTATACCATTTGGTTCGTGGGATCGGAAGGCAAAATATGGAATATTCTGGAATATTGCTCCCTTCCCATGTTTGGTTTTGGGATGTCATTTAGATGGGATGGGGAAAAGGTGGGATTATAAATCCCAATCCTTGGGATTTGGAGTCCCATGGTTTTGATGGGGAAGTAGGGGGATCCACGACCCATAAATAAATTATTACTTATTTAGTAACATATTAACAACACAATTTAATTTAAATAATTAATAAATAACTTAAAATAAATAATTAATAAAATATTAATAAAGAAATAAGTTAATAATTAATTATGTTTTCATAATAGAATATTAAAATCATTAATTAAGTCATAAGTATTAATATAATAAAATATAAGAATTAAAAGTTAAAGTATTAATTAATGTTAATAATTAATTAACTAATTAATATTTAACAATAAAATAATAAATCATAAAAATATTATTAATGAATTTTTAACTAAAAGTTCAAGCTTTAATAATTATGAAGTCACTAATTAATTAATAACTATTTTATAATTAACAAATTAATTAAAATAAATTAAAAGAAATAGTTTGTGAATAATTAATATAAGAATACTAAAGTTATTAATTAAGTCATGGGTATTAATAGTATTAATAAAACATAGTAATAATAATAACTTATAAACTAATAAATTGTGAAATATTAATTAATTAAAATAATTAAATAAATAACTATGTATTTTAAATAATTAATAATAAAATACAAAATAATAGAAATCATTATTGACTGATTAATAATTAAAAAAGTAGTTAATAATTAATTAACTAGGTAATGAATGAATAAATAAGTAATGATTTTGTTTGTAATCTAATTAATTATTCAATAAAATTAGTTAAATAATTAATAATGAAAATAAAATTATTAAATAATTCATAGTAAATATTAATAAAAAGTTTTAAAATATTAATTCTTAATTAATAATTTGTTAGATAATTATCAAGAATATTTAATTATAAAATAATTTCATTAAAATATTAATAATTGTAGTAGGGTTGATGTTCCCACTGTTTTCCCTCTTGCAACGAAATAATAAAACATAAAATTTGTTCACCGATCTTCTCTTTCCCATCCCATCCCATCCCATCCATCCTTTTCCACAATACCAATATCTTCCTAGAAAATACAGACCAAACGCGGCCTAAAGGATAAACGACCCGAATAGGGCTAACCGCTCCACATATAGATATGGATATGGGCAAGAGGCACTGAGGCAGCTGTGAATGTGATATTCTGCCCATTTAGAAGCAATCGAAATCCGTCCCTACCTTCCGCTTCCGGGCTCCCACGGGCCTTCCCTTCACCGATCCCGTCTCCCTTAAAACCGGGCATTAAATTAGCGACACGGTGGCAAGGTCTGGCTACCATACGGCCTCTCTTGGGGGTGTTTTGAAAAGAAAAGAAAAGAAAAGGCGTCATATCAAATCTGTTTGATTGACCCTCGAAACCCAAAACGAGATTGTCATATTTAAGATAGCCTATCATCATTTTCGATGGGGAGGCCTTTGTATTTATATTATGTACCAGACACTCAGCGAGAGAGAGAGAGAGAGTCTTAAGAACTTACATTCTTTACCTTTAACATTCTTTATATCTTCTCCTTTATTATCATTTTACTTAATTGTAGTCGTACTATTTCTGAATAGTGACGGTAAGACAAGAAAGGCATTTTCAGAGTCAGACATTCCATTTTCTCATATAAATTTTTGTAAAATAAATCTAATACAAGAAACATAACAATAAAATATTACTTTATTATTAATTTTAGTTTTTTTATTCCCCCTTTCTCTGTCTACTCGCCAACACAAGTGTGAAAAGCTGGTTCCTCTTTGATTCTATTTACTCTGAGAGGATCTTCTCCTGTCTTCTCCTGTCTAACATCTTAACTTAAGAGAAGTGATGAGGGCACAACTTCTTACTTGCTATTTTCTCATAAAGTGGGCACACTCTTAATGCCTATGGGAAAGTCTGATTATGGCCTTATCGTAGTGAAAATGACCAAAAAAAAAGCCATTAATAATCGTCAAATAACTCAAAATATGTGGGCGATTTTGTCTATTAATGCATATATTTGAATATCAGGGATGTGCCACTCTTGTAAACAAATAATTGCTAAGATCATTCAAAAGATTACTTAAAATCAAACCTGCATTTGTGGACTAGAATGTAATGTCTGTAGTGCAACTATTTAACTTCACACTAGTATAAATACATGGGAGTGCAAATGAGAAAAAATAGCTTTTACTTTTACTTTAGGCTTAAAATAAAACAAAAAACTGAAATAAAAAATAAATTATATGCACTTAATTTATTTGTACCCTCATACTTTTGCACTGATGCAAAATAATAAAATTGCATGACAAACAACTTAATAAGGCCTTTACTATTATTTTTCATGAGAAGCATTACTACTACTCCAACGAGATGATAATAAATTGATGATATCTATTACATCGATCACAAGGATTGTTTTTTTCTTAATCAAGATGATAAAGTTGGTTATGGATGAGTAAAGATATTTAATATGGATTTTGTTATACTTTATTATTATAATTCTTGGGGGAAGAGGAGAGAAGTGAAATTTTGCTGATACTTTATTTAAAAAAAAAAAAAATTACAATGAACGAACATAGAGAAGACAGGAGGGAAGCATGAAGGCAGTTTTGGAAAGAGGAGAGGAGAGGAGAGGAGAGGAGAGGAGAGAGGTTGTTTGTTGTTACAGAGGAACAGAACAGGATCTATCTGTTAGAGGAATAGTAGACTTTTTCTGGTATCCCTTCCATCTGATCTGATCTGCCTATGAACCCTAACACCTCTTAAAGAGCCTATATGAACCTAGAACAGACAAGTCCATGTGAAGAAAAACCTTGGTTTTCAAACCCATAACCAAAAACTCACACATACAGAAGAATGAAGAATGTAAATACAGGTGTATATATTGCAGGTAAGAATGCTTATTTAATAAATGAAAAACCCCAGAGAAAGAGGGAAAGAAAAGAAGAAATTTAAGAATATAAAAAGAAAGAGCAAGGAACAACTTCTGAGCGCCGCCAGTGTAATCATTCAGAATGATAATCACGCAGGGCAGGGCAGGCCAGTTCTTCAACTCCCCAAAATACAGTAAGAACTCTTCTCTCCCTCAACTCTGCTCCAAAAATCCTTTTTCTTTATTACAACATGTTGGACGGACCGACGGAGAAGGAAAAATAATTCAATTTTCAAGTGTAAACAAACAGCAAGAAAATCCGGAATTGAAACTAGAAGCTCAAATTTCAATCCACATCAATCAAACTCTCCCACCCGTAAACAGCAAACAACAAATTAACCCTCTTTCCTTCCTTTCCTTTCCCCAGCTTATCTGGGGAATAGTTGAGTGCAATTACTGACCAATATTGCTCTTAGCTGTCACACGCATATTTACATCAAAACAAGATTGAAATAAAAGTGTTTTAATGTAAAAGAGACTCACCTCGAGAGCAGTGTGGGACGGGGACGATAACAAAGTTAAATCATAACATTGTTTCATGCATGCAATTTCCGGGGATTATTAAAAATAGGGGATTCGAGAGAAATTTAATAAAGGGGAACTAAACTGATAGAAGAAAGAAAGATCATGATCCTCCATATAAACAACGGTTCCTCCACAACACATCTCAGTCGTTAGAAAATACAATTCCTTTTTGAATTTTGTCTAGTAAATATCAGAGTCAGTCACTTCGTATTCCTCAATTTCTCACAGCCTCTATAAATACACCCCATCACACTTCTTCTCCAGGTGCCAAGTCCTGAGTCCTGACTCAAACCCGCTTCTCTCTCTCTCTCTCTCTGACCTTTTCTTTCTGCCCCTCATCTTTTATCTATATCATAACAACAAGAGCCATGGAAGAAGCAATGAGGCAACTTAACGGTCTGACCTACTCGCCGGAACCTGACTCCAAGGACCTCAGCAGCACCGAACAACAAAAGAAATGCAACAACAAAAGGTCCTTGAAGGATGGTGGTGGCGGAGGTGGAACCATGCGATACCGAGGTGTTCGCAGACGTCCATGGGGTCGATATGCTGCTGAGATAAGAGACCCACAGTCCAAAGAAAGACGTTGGTTGGGTACATTCGACACGGCCGAAGAGGCTGCCTGCGCCTACGACTGCGCTGCTCGTGCCATGCGCGGTCTCAAGGCTCGAACTAACTTTGTCTACCCTAATTCACCCCCTCACTCTTCCACTGGCCATCTGCTCCCTCCGTTTGATTTCTCAAGACCTTCGGCCCCGTCGACGAGGGACTTACCCACCAACAGAAACGTGGTGTGCTCTGATTGGTCGTACTGGTCTAATACTCGAGGAGTCGACGCTTCTGGGTTATCTCAAAGAAACTCTTCTCCTAATATGCACTTCCTTCGTGACTTCCTTACATCGTCTTCCGGTTCCTCTTGCTCGTCCGCTTCACAGTTGCATGATCCCTCAATACCCTACTGCGGCTGTCCTCCTTCTGCTCCTTGTTCTTTCTTTTCTGCGACTAATCCTCCCTTTTCTAGTGGTGTTGGCAGTGATTTAATCGAGTTGTCTTTGAAAGGTTCGTCTCCCGGTCTCCTCGCTGTTGAAGATCGTCAGGATTACACTTGGCCTGAGGCTGACACGAAAAAACCAACCGACGACATGGAGTTCTTTCCCTCTGAGTCACCCGATTCTGGGTTATTACAGGAAATTATCAGCGGGTTTTTTCCAAAGCCCAACTCTACCGAATCCCTCTCCTCGTCAAAGATGTCGAATTACAGTCGAGAGTCCTTAGTTGCTCCTGTGTCTGAAATGAGCTTGGATTCATCCTTCGTTGAAAGGGAGATTGAAAATCAACATTTAAGGCTATATTTAGATTATCAAAGACAAACCCAGCAGGTTGAGGTTCCTCAGGTTGGTCAGCATTCGCAGCAGACGCCATTCTACAATGAAGCATCAACAAACTTTCCTTTAATGACTGAAGGGACGTTGGAAGATATTATGCAATATCCAGAGCTTTTAGATATTTTTGCTGCTAAGTTGCAGCAGAATGCTTGATGTTGGAAGCGTTGGACTGTTTTCTTTTTTTCTCTCTCTCAAGGGTCAACTTGTAACAGCCTTGTTTCATCGTATCCAAGTCAACGGAACGGATGATAGAAAGCTAGAAACGATGCCCTATTTCTAATTTGCATGAAGTTGAGTCGTTTTCTTTTATGTTTTCCGATTGTATCCTTGGGTGCAATTCCTCTCTTTCCCCTTGTGTAGTTTTTGTTTCAAGTAAGGCCATCTCTCATGATGTAGTCACGTCCTGGTCCTGTAAGCTTGTTACTACAGTCTACTACTATCATCAGTCAAGACTTTAACTCTCTCTCTCTCTCTCTGTGATAGGTTCTTATCTTTCTTACTCAGAAAATAATGTGACGAATGGAATTTCGCTTCTTTTGAACAGGAAGGAATGCTCATTTGAACGGTGAATAATGAAGCCACGTAGTACATTTCTATAAACGCTTTTTTAACTTGTGATACCCGAAAAACTTACTATCCAATCAAACTGGTATCATATCATAAAAGAGGTGACAAATCAGGAGGTACTCATCAAAATGGATGGAGATGTTTTGATTGATCAAAGCTCTTCCGGTATCTGTGATTTGAATATCACCATCCTTTATTACGTACTGTTCCTTTCAGAATTTCCCATATTAGTTGGTATTCGTCTGTATTTCGCATTCTTAGATAGGTAAAGTACTGTTCATGTATATTTGTATAGACGTTTCTATTATTTGATGAGTAGTTGTGATTTATTATAATAAGTCAAGTTGACCTTGGGCCTCTTGATTTTCTTTTCTTTTATTAATCTAATCAAGAGATTCAGAGATGCTGTCTCTTTCCGAGTCTCTCACAGCAGCATGAACCATGAAGAACGGGTTGCGATATCTTTTTGTTTTTGGGTTCACCATCCAAGGGGTTTCAGCAGACTTAGGAGCTGGAAAAGGTTGTGCATAATTGTCTTCTTTTTACTTGTATCCTCTCTTGTGCCATTTTTTTTAATATTATTTTCTTCTATATTAATGGCTGCTTCTAATCGTCACCAACAATTAACTTTTAGTAAATTTTATAGGTTAGAGAGATTGGAGAATAAATTTCATCTACTTTGGCCTTTGGGTTCTGATAATTACTGCTTGATTCTTGTCTAATTAACAATTCAGGGACTGTGATAGACATTCTTTGTTGATTATATTATTCATTATACTATAAATGACTGCATGCGGGTACGTAATAGTCGAGGTACGGATGTTTTTACAGAGCCCCTTTTTTACTTTACGTGTTTGGATATATAAAACATTAAATGTTGGAGAAGCAAAGTTAAAGCTTTATTTATTAATCACTATATAATAACACGACCTGAAGTTTATTTATTAAAGAAAATGGTTCTAGCTGGAAGGTTTGGAATTTGATTTTGAGCACTAATATTTGTACCCTGGGAAAGGGTCACCCGTCACCGGTCACTGGTCACCGGTCACCGGTCACCGGTCACCCCTAGAGTTGTGATTTCTGTAGCTCCTCATATATATATATATATATATATATATATATATATATATATACTGCTTTTTCATTTATGTTATAAATCTTTCGTACATTTTAGTTGTTAATGGTCCATGGTTTATTCAAGTTTGCCAACGCCCAAGGTTCAAACTATCCTTACGTATCATTTTGGGACTCTTCTAATATGTTCTTACAGTGGGTGTGGGTGTATCGGGGGTTTGATCGATTCAGGGGATGGAGGGATCCTAGACCAATTCCTTTAAACCAGTTTTAAAGAAAAAAAACATATCAAATATCTCGATACACCATATCAATATTTTGAACTTTGCCTCCGCCTAACTATAGTTTTATTTGGGCTATGCTTGTTTTGATAAAAAGAAGTTGCGGTTCTTGACAAATTTTTGAAATTGTTTAGGCGCAATTTGAAAAGAGATAAATACAAATAGATACAAAATGACAGATTTTTCATTTATTCAATTCTCTGTTTCTTTCATTTATTTCCAATAAGCATAGTGAGTTTCGGCAACTCGAATACATGATGGGACTCATGAAAAAAAGTAGATATAAGGGGCCGAACCCAAGTACATTGTTGTTGCTTCATTTTGCAGTTGCATTTGAATCTGCTGTAGATTTACAGTTAAAATGATTGATTGCCACCACCTGTTCTTTGCATAGGTGGTGGTTTCTCATTTAAAACAGTCCACCCAATTAGTTTATTTTTTTGTTATTTATCTTTTAATTTATATAGCTCAAAATTCTAGTTTTGTACATTTTTACTTTCCATCCTATTTTCACTCTTCATCTCTCTTCCCCTAAAACCTGTATTTTTCTGTACGAACTCATCTAAAACAACCAGAATACTTTAATTAAAAGATCCAATCCATCAATTTTGAAGCAAGTCAAAGATCCATATTGATAAACATCCAAGATGCTTTTACTTCTAATTGGGCTAATTTGTCTAATTGGATTTTTGATAATCTTGTTTGGAACGTAACCTGAAGATAAACAGCTGTTATACATTAATTTATTGTATGAACACTTTAAATGTAGATATCTGCCTTGGGTAAATATTCATTGGATTTTTAGGCTGTTATATACATTTCTTCAACCAAAACAATCAGAAACATTGGTGTGCACATTTATGATAGGTTGCCCAGCCTGGTGGTCTGCGCATGAATTTGTCGACTTCACATCTCCGCCCCAGGAGGCATCCCACAACGCTTCGCAGCACATCCTTGTCGTGTATTAAGAACATATTCTGATGATTGTACAGTTTCAATGATGTCATCTTCGGGAGATGTTTTTAATACACGGTGGGGATGTTCTGTGGGACGGAGATATGATCTTGAATTTTTCTCCGGTCCATGCAATGGCTTCTGGTTAATGCAATTTTAGCTCCACACAAATTCTAGAGATAGCTATCATATGCAAATAAAAGATGAGAAATTACTGGGGCTGCCTACATATCTTAATTCCAAATAAATCTTTCCTCTCTACCAATTTATTAAGGATGACAGAGAGAACATCAGAGCATATTAAAAAAAGATATGGGGATTAGGGATTTCCTTGCCGCAGATCCCTTTTGTGGCCAAATTTTCTTTGATGGAACTCCATTTACTAGCACTTGATATGAGATAGTTTGGACACAAGTCATGACCTAGCTAACCCATTCCTCACTAAATCCCAGTTTCTGCATTGCTTCGTTAAGAAACTCCCATTCAACTCTATCATACGCTTTATTCATGTCCAGCTTTACAGCCCTAGAGTCATGTTTAGCCTTTGTTTTGTTCATGTGGTGCATCACCTCATGAGCAATTAAGATATTATCCACAATTGACCTCTTAGGATGATGGCACTTTGATTTCGGGAAATGACTCTGTTAAGTATGGATTTTAGCCTTTTAACCAGAATTTTTGAAATTATTTTATAGACCGTGTTATGTAGACTGATGGGTTTGAACTGGGCAGATTTTTATATTTATTTATTTATTTTTTTACTTTGTGGACCAAGGTAATATAAGTGGCATTTAGATTCCTATTGAGAACTCCTTTGTTAAAGAAGTTTTTTATTTCCTTGATTACCCCATCCTTTACAATCTCCTAGTAATTCTGAAAGAACAGATTTGGGAAGTCATGAGGGCTCAGAGCTTTCATTGGGGCCATCTGGAACAGAACCTCCTTGATTTCCTCATCAATAATTTCTTTCTAAAGACCTTCATTATCCTCCTCATTGAGTTTCCTTTCCAGGTACTCTATAGCTATCTCAATCTCAACAGGGTTGTTTGAAGTGAATATCTGTTGAAAATGGTTAATAATAACCCTACCTACTTTGTCCTGTCCTTCTATCCAGTCTCCATCATTGTTCTTGATTTTCAAAATTCTGTTACTTACCCTCCTTCTTGTGATTGCATTGTGGAAAAAAAAATGGTGCTTCTGTTTCCATGATTCAGCTAGTTTAATTATCCTAGATCTCTGAGCCCAGTAAATTTCCCCTTTCTTTAGGCCTCGGTCCAGCTCCCATTCTAATTGTTTTACTTTGGGGTAACTAAAGTTAGAACCATTTTTTGCTTTCTCCTCAACCAACTGAATGTTGAGACTCTAATTTCTCATGAACTTTGCCAAAATCCTTCCTTGCTCACTTCCTTGGATGTTTCCTCCGATTCATACATCTTCTAGATAAGCACCGCTGATGTGAGCTCTCTAATTACCTCTTCACATCTGTCATGCATCATCCACATCTCTTCAAAAAACATCACATATTCCTTTCTTAACTTATTTCTATCTACTATGCATGCCAGCAAAGCTAAGGGCGCATTTTTGACATAAGCCAGCCTGAGCCCACCCAAGTTGCATCCCAATTTGTCGGTCAGAAATTTTAAGGACTGTTTGGTTTGCAGTAGAGATTTGGTAGTGGAATCTGAGTATGCTATTCTAATTCCGATTCAAATTGTTTGGTTAAACCGAATCAGAATCGCATTTTCATTCCTGATGGAATGGTATTTTTTCATTTGAGGGAATGGCCATTCCCTCTTCTTCCCTTAGGAATGAAATCATTTCAGTTGATTTCAATTCGTATTCTCATTCCTGTCTGAACCAAATGGCCTATGGTGATAGACCATTCCGATTCTATTTCCGAGGGATTTTGATTCGTATATCGTCTGTGAACCAAAGAAACCCTTAAATTGTGTAAAATTTCTTATTGTTGTGCAAACAGGCCAACTTAGAGTCTTCATAGATGTCTATACAAGTCAGAATCCGATCCATCTATAAATGTACTTTTAATACTTTAGTTACTTCCGGTTAATTAGGATAATTAGAACTTTAAACCCATATTAACCTTGTGCAATTAATTTGAATGGTAAGAGAAATCATCCATGTTAGTAGTTAATAGGTGGTAGAGGAGGATGCCAAGTCTACCACAGAGGAGAAGTCCTCACCATCTAATCATGCAATTAATGTGAGTAATCAAAATGGGCTACAAATATGTCCCAATAAACTTGAAAGTATTGGCTTATAGGGGAAAAAAAATAAAATAAACATGTTTCCATACCGTCCGGATGGCTCCATGTTCTTTTGGATTTCGCACTAGAATTTGCAACGCCTGGTTAATTGATATCCGACCTTTGGAGGATTGATGGAAATTCTACTCCGATAGTTGTGGGCCTTGTGGAAAGAGGCGATGACAATGAGAAGAGTTATTTACATAGACCTCTTCGACACCCCTAATCTATCAAAGAATGTAGTCTTCTTCCAGATAAACCGCATCTCTTTATTGCTAATCTTCTAATTGAAAACCAAAAACTCTAAGGGCCTGTTTAAGAATAGGGGTTTGAATTTGAAATTGGAATGGCCCATTTCGATTCCAATTATTTGATTGAGTGGAATGGAATCTCATTTCAATTCTTGCTGAATGGCATTCTCTCATTTGAGGGAGTGGCTATTCCCTCCCCCTCTTTTGGGAATAAATTCTCATTTGATCTGATTCTAATTCTTAACTAAACAAACTATGGGAATAGAGCATTTTCATTCCAATTTTTGAGGAATTTTGATTCAGATTCTGATGATAATTCTACTGGGCCTGATCCATCATGTGTAATAAATTCATACTGGACCGGGTCGGATTGGATCAATATCCAGTCCATTGACGAACCTATCCTGAATATGGCATGTTATGGGCCTCAGGCGTCAACTTTTACTCAACATTAAGGATCCGTTTGGTTCACAGTTGGAATCAGAATCGAAGTCCTCCAGAATCGGATTTGGAATGGCCCATTCTCATTGTCTGTTTGATTCAGACAAAAAATGGAATGGGAATTGAAGTCAGCAGAAATGGGATTTCATTCCCAAGGGAGGGGCAGGGAATGGCCATTCCCTCAAATGAGGAAATGCTATTTCAATAGGAATGGGAATGAGATTCTAATTCCATCAAACCAAACAATTAGAATCAGAATAATTCTTTCCATTTCCGATTCCAGACCCCTATTCCCACGAACCAAACGGGGCCTAAAATTTAAAAGAAGTGGATGCGTTGGATTTTCTGAATTGGTCAGGTAATTCAACAAACAATATGAATCTAGAGTTTGCTGTGCAGAAAAACCATACCGGAGACAGTGGGAGTTAGGCCGTATTTTGGTAATGTTCCCTGAGGTAGGTGGACCTTTTGTTGTTTGATGATCTATAATTGAAGCCTTGAAGGTGGCCTCCGTGTCCTGCCAAGTGGGCCATGAGCGTGGTGGTTGGGGGCCCGCAGAAGGGAGGATGTGGGCTCAACAACCAAGAACCAGGGAGGGGATTAGTGCGCCACGTTGTGAATAGCACTGACTGTACGTTAGGTAGGACTTAGGAGGCACATTAATTTCTATCAAGTAATGAAGGTAGCCAAGCCAACTCATCTCTCAAGCATCAAGCAGGAATAGCATGACTGGATTTTAGATAATAGATTTGCGGAAGCAAGTTGGAAGGAATCCACACCTCACGAGAAACTAAACTCTCTTTAACAAAGATGATGAAAAAAGCCTCTTTTGATTTCTCTCGTGATTCAGAGAGAAAAAAAAAAAAGGTACGTAAGATGTGATCGAGTCGGGAGTGGTTGAACTATTACCAAAAGCAACCGACATTGGTGGGTTGTTTATTGTCACTCTCGTGAGCGATCGATTGAGAGAGGGGGGAGGAGGTGGAGCTGCGGATGTTTAAAAGAGAATTAGTACTGGAATAATGAAGACTCTTGAAGGTAAGGTTGTGACTGCTCTTTCATCTTCATTAACGACGAGCTTCTTTGGGTAAAGCTGTTGCAGGCGATTCAAGGTTCAACTTGAATAAATAGAAACTGCGAGGTATGGAGATGATTCCATTGAAAAAAGAAAAAGAGTCTTGTTATTAGGAAAACGTTTTTCTAATTATAATTGGACCAATATACATAAAAGAAATAGTGTTTTTGGTTCTTTACTTCTTTTCCGGGCCTTAGCTAAGGCCTTCTGCAAGTAATTTTACGACGGAAAGGGCTGGACTGGACCAGACCTTGAGGCTTGATGGTTAGTCCTGACTCGGTTAGGATCGCCCATTCTCCTGGCTAAGGCTAAGATTTTGATCTGGAAAATGGAAACGAAGCTTTTGTTCTTAGATTTCCATATATATAGGGCAGCCTAGATTTGAGCCTAGCCAGATGAAAGGCCCACTGCAGTCCAGCGTTGGCAAACCATCGATCAGGATTTTCCCTTCCGTTCGGTTTGTCATTAAAAATAGAATCTTATAGGTTTGTGGATCCTCGTAGGGAGAAAAAAAAGGTGGCAATGGAGACGACAAAGGAGGCAGCAGAAGCTAATACGTACACCAGGGGTAAGGGGATGCTGGTTGAGATTCCGTCGGAGACCAGCACGGGGGAGTCGGTGGCAGCAGCACCAACACCCACGCCCGGATTGATGAGACAGTCAAGTGGTGTAAAGATGAACAATTGTCTTTGCTCTCCAACGACACATAACGGTTCATTCCGTTGTCGGCTTCACCGTCAACCCAGTCTCCAACGTACCAAAAGTATAGACTCAGCAACTCTTCAAGAGTTGCCTCATGCTCAGAAGGATACAGTTATACAACCACCAGCACCGAGAGCTCCGTAGAGGCCAGTAATTCGCTATATTAGCAATTTCGCTACTGTTGAGTGTTGACAAACTATTTCTCTTTCCCACTCTCGTGTTTGTGTAATTTGCCTTATCTGGGTAACTTTATCTGTGTAATTTTACCTTATCTTTTGGACATGAACAGTTCTGTTGTGCACCAGAGACACACCTGTCATTACACCACCAGCTTCAGTTAATTTATTAGTCAACAGACATTGTTACCAAGCTTACAAATTTGTGTTGTTCTACTTCTACGCCTTATAAATACACCCCACAGTACAACAGAGAGATCTGGAACGTTATGTCTCACTCTTTAACTATAACAACATCTGGATCTGGAGTCCACACATCACAGATGTCTAGCTAAGGATCAGAAACATTGTGAATATCTGCTCGTAAAACTTGTTATATTGAATACCTTTCGAGTAGGGATGATCATTTCTAACCCAGTCTGGTCCGGCCCATAAATTTTCAGGCTTACTGAGTTACTTTAAAAGCCTTTTTTTTTTTTTTTACATAACCAAAGCCTTGTCTTGTGTGGTCCCCGGTCCAGTCCATTGTCACCCCTATTTTGCACAGTGAGAAAAAAAAAAAAAAGGATTTTAATTTTGTCGAAGGAAACCATTTATTGTCAGATCAGATTGTGCATTTGACATCCATAACTGAACTTGTACTGTTTAAGTCCCATTTGTCACTAATTGATTGGTTAGAAACGGTCACTCACGCTAGCACTTAGTAGCCCTTCTTTATGAAACTTACAAGTCCATCGTAGACCACACATCTGGAGTAGATGAGTGCCATAGAAAATATTCCAGATGTGTGGTGTACACTGTACAGTGCCTTTGTAACATTGCTCACATCGCCAGTGATGTGTCGCATTCGCCACTATGATACATTGCACTCTTCCCAACTGAGCCAAAGTTGTATGGCACAGCTTACAAAGTACCACTTGTTCCAGTATAGCCATCATGCCTTTATCAAGAGAAACAAAAAAGAAGAATGCAAACATGGAGACGTTATGACCCTGGCGAACAAGCTAATATGTATAGAGATCACTGAATTCCTGTATGGTCAGTGAACTGGTGAAGGCAGCAAGCTGCAAAACCACCACGGCTCATTATCCAGATTGCAGTGTCATTAATGGATGTCCCAAGCATTCAGATTTCAGACAGATATCCATCAGTCATCACAAAAAAGCTAGAGCTAGGTAGATAAAGCATTTATTTGTACAGCTTCTACCATCAATTAAGCAGAAAACAAGTATTTGTCTCGCAGGGTATTTATTCATAATCAATCTAATAGGTTCCAGCTGTGCAGATAGCATGGTGGACATTTTCCTTTTCAAATTTGTTATAGAAAAGACTTTTCATGCTTGGGTCCTTAGATTTCTCAGAACCATGGGACCATGGCAATGTCTGATTACAATTAAATAAATAAGTAAAGCTTATACAAATCCTGATTTTTCAAACAAATTTGCCCATCCAGTTTATCAGTATGGTTGTTGATTCTTCTCAATATTTTTGCTCTTTCAGAGAAATAATACATCAATCTCACCTTATTTATCACTTATCAGTATGATAATAATTGATTCTTCTAGCAAGCTTGGGGTAATCACTATTGTCCACAAATCAAATGCAAGAACAAGACCATGGTTGAATTTGATATAACAAATGGGGTCTTAGTAAGTAATAACCAATGATTAGAGAGACATTACGATTTTACATTCAAAATTAACAATTTATGTCCCACATTTGATCATTTACAAATCTGGGGTCCCAGGCAGCTTCACAATTTGAGATATTTGAAGAAATTTTCCTCCCATCTCCTAAACATCTAGCTTCTTATTAGAATAAAATACATCATAGATGCAAAATGATTTGCTTCCTATAATTTTCTTGTGTTGGGCAAGAAAAGAGAAAGGAACAGGAGACATGTGCTCACCTTTCTGCATTACCATTCCCTAACCTTGGAAATAAACAAAATATAATCAATGTCTTTCACCTGCAGCTCTCTTCATTTTGGCCACAATTTACTGAACATTCTCTTGGGTCTAGTTGGAAGGGAGCAGAAAGCCTTAAGCCTAGAGGTCTTGACGATTCCTTCCTGGTGACTGACATTGTCATCCATTTCATTGTCATCTTCATCCAGCTTCATTCTTAGAGTTGACAGCTTTGACTTTGGTAATTTGAGGCCAGAGATACTCCACTCATCATCCACAGGGCTGGTTTCAGTGGTGTGTAATGATCGTAGATGCCTTTGGTCTGGATCATTTTCATGCAGGGTAAGAAGTGCCTTGATGTTTTTAGGGAGTTCAGTCACTTTCCCACCGGCCAAGGTGGTTCTTGCCTGTTCAAAGAATAGAACTTGCACGACAACCCTCAGTGGAAGTAGCTCATTTTGTGCTGCATGCATGCATGCTTCCATGGATAGCTTTTTGCAGTCAAGGATTCGGCACAGGCGTTTACGGTCACTCTTTGTAAGGTCTGGGTGTGCCTGAATGATATGATACAGGAAGCCCAATACAAATGAGTGCATTGCTCCCAACTGTTTTGTTACTAAGTAAATTGTAAATTCAGTACCATATGTAGCAATTATTCTTAGAAAGTAATATATTAGCAAACATGGCACACACAAGCACATCTAGTTACAGGGCCACATTATAACTGATTGGATGATTGCAAAGGTGCAGAATGTACCTTTTTCTCTATTTCTCCCCCCCTTTTAGTTCTCCTCATACTCACCAAAAGGACTGGAGATTTACAATCATCCAGTAGGCACATTTTTCTCAGTATTCAGTTTATCAACAGAATTACCACCAGCATGACTCAGTAACTGTGTGGTTTCATTGAACCAGAGGACTTCTAGCAATTAATAGTTGGGACTTGATATTGAACCCATGACCATGAACCAGGTGGCCTCCAGTTACATGCCTATAGACCTTGGTAATGCTAAACTGGTAGGTCTGCTTAATTGAATTTCTAAAACCCTCCGAAGGCCAAGAGATATATTTTTATCTACTCAGCTAGTCATAGAAAATGAAAATTAATAAAGAATTCTTAGATGCAGATTACCTTGAGGAAAATATCAATAGCTCTGTATAGATCATCATGATCAGGCCTTGCAAAATCTGGTATGGCCTCAGCAAGTTCAATCATCTTGGACAGAGACAGATTCACATCCCGAGCAACCTCCTGAAGATACCTGTCAATGAGTTTCGCCACCTTTAGTTTTGAGCTATGTGATGCTGAAGAGGACCTCCTACTCTCCTGGAACCCAAAATCAATGTTCTCCGCAGATCGTGATCTTCTCCTCTCAAAAACTGCCTTGTCTCTTGGAGGGCTTGTTGGGGGACTCTGTCCTTGCAACATGAACTGCTCCAGTATGGCTATGACTATATCGACATCGTATAATGTGTCACTTGTGTATGACAGAGATGGTATCAGCAGATCACAGACTGTCGCTTCCTCCAACTGGATTCCCACTCTTCTGGCCAGTTCCATTTTTGAAGAAGAGGAAGCACGGAGTATGCTTGCAGCCTTCAAGAGCTTAAGCAAGAAACTGCAAGAAACAGCATCTCTCTCCAATGGAAGTAAGCTTACAATCGATTCCAAAAGCAAGCGGTACTTTGTTGTTACCTCTCCCACCGAATCAGGAAAAGAATCAGGAATATCATGCTTACTGGAAGCAATCCCATCTTTAGACATGCTGGGTAGCCATCGAGAAGCATAAATCTGCAATGCCTCGCCTATGAGATTAGACGGTAACTTTCCACCGGATTTAATTGCGGCCATGGTTCTCCAATAGAGGTCTATACCCAATTCTGCAATATCCTCGGCCCACCACCCCTTCGATGCAGGTTTATGTCGCTGGATCTCTGTTCCGTTGCATGAAACATCATCTCTGCATCTCCTGGAGTAGCTGTGCGACAAATTTGCCTTGGAGGGATGGCTTAGGATTTTTAAGGCAATGGCATCTATGGTTCGGTTCGTGATGCCAAGGTCTTCTGACCATAAAGGAAAGGACTTTGTACTCTGTAGTGTTACTAACGAGTCCTTCCACCCACGGAGGATGCAGGAATTGAAGAAAACTTCAACCTTGTAGATGAGATTTCCCTTCTCCACATCCTCTGTCATCTGTAGGTATTCAGCAGCACATCTAACAGCTACAATGTTATAGGCACTAAGGGTGATGATAATGCCATAGCAGAACTTGGCACAGATCTCAAAGGCCTCTGCTCCACCCGGGAAGTCTGGCAGTTGGATTATTTGGTTTTGGGAGGATTCAGGAGATTCAGCGCATAGCCGCTGTAGACGCAAGCATTTGGAGAGCAGAGGAAACTGCAATGACTTAAAAAACAACCAAATTACAGGACGGACCACAAAGAACTCAATTCAATTAACCACTGAGTCGAAATGGGTCATGAATTTTTTACCTTGTGAAGCAAATATCTCGTTTCCTTGACTTGAAGTATGAGATCACTAGAGACTTCTGTTGAGACAGTCCTGCACTTAAGGAAGAAAGACCTGAAACTCTTGTATCTCTGGAAATTGCTTTCGCTTTTGAAGAAAAAAAAAATGTGATGATATTAATCTGTTCCACTCTTACCTTACGTCCTCAGCGGTAAAGAAGGTATCGGGGCGAGACCCAAGCTTCATGAACTTCATTGCTGGTCTTATTTTCTCTCGTCAGGAACTCCTTAACATGGCCGTTAAATTAGCAATGACAAACTTCAACGAGGCTTCCCTTTCAGTGCTCCTAGTTACTACTTCATACTACTTCCTTGAGGACCAGTTCCTGTATTGAAACCTTCCAAATTGATAACAACTCAAGCAGTCCTGCGCTTGCCTTCAGAAAGAGGAAGAAATCAACAATTCCCAGAGGAGATGAATCGAAAAGAAAGGAATGTTGGTAGCTTTCTCATTGTGGGTCTAAGGAGAAGGGAATTCCCACGTTTAAGCATATCAGAGCAGAATTACTCTAAAGATCCAAAACAGAAGTCATGCCATTTCAATCAAACACAGAAGAAAAAAATTGATAAATTGAAGAATCAGCTACACATCATCAAAATCAAAATTTTGAAACCAACTCGATCAAGCAACAACAACAACAACAAAAAAAAAAGAGCTTTCAAAAAGCAAAACGAACATGAGTACAATTTTCTACTTGTTTTGGAATCAATTTGTTTTTTTTTTTTTTAAATAAAAGATTAAAGTATAAAGGAGAAGGGTGAAGCTTATGATTTCGATTCTCACCCTAAAAAAGAAACATCAAGCACTTTGCCGGAATACCAAAGCAGAAAGATGGAAACGTCGCCTATCGTCTCTGCAGCGTTTAAAGTTGGAATGAAGTGATGTTTAGAACTACTAGGAAGTGGGAACTGGGAAGTCTCATTCCCATACGCGTGCAAAGAAGGTGGGCCGGCGAGTGGGGTGGGGGATTGGGGAATCTCACTCTCACGGACAACGCCTACGTGCTAAACCGGTTCCCACCTCTACTCTTCCTACTGCTTTCTAGTCTTGTTCTCATTTCCCATCAATCCATCATTGATCTTGAAATTTCTTATTTATTCACCCTCAGCTAATTTTAGTCAAACACTAATTTATTACTTAATCTTTTCTCTTATATAAAAGAGAGAATAAGATATGTGTGTATCACCAAGGAGACTCGGGAGTGGATTTCCAAATTCCAAAGTGTCGATCCAGCTGATTCTCATATAAATTGGCCATTCATCAAAATAACTAGTTGTTGGCTGCTTGTTTCATAAACAATTTTTCCCAAGTAATTTGTAAAAAGTCATGTTTAGTTTGGGAAAGCAGACGACGCATTAATAAATAAGTTTGCCAGGTTCGGATGTAATTTAGATATATTTTTTTACCAAAAAAGTATGGATTATATATTTAAGTTTGCATTGGATTCTTCAGTAAATTCCAGCAATGGATTGACATGCCAATCAAACTGATGACAGAGCTATCGAGCTATAAAGTCCGCCATGTAATCACCAAACCAAACGGTGATGAATCCTTTCTTTTTTTGCCCGGGTGGGGGGTATTTATTAGTGAAATATTTTTGGCGTTCAACAATAATAAGTTTATAAATTTATATTAAGGCCCGTTTGTTTTTTTGTAAGTTATTTATCTGGATAAATACATTTATCCATGTAAGTGTTTTTTAGGAAAGACTTGTTCGGATAAGTGCATTTACCCGTGTTTTTTTATTTCTTATATAAATAAGGTAATGACCATTTTAGTCATAAAATTCTATTATTAAAAAGGGCATTTTTGTCCCATTCAAGTGTTGACAATTTTTCTTAGATCACCATATAAATCTGAAAAAAGAATATAGGTTTTTTTGGTGTATAAGAATCAAAATTCCATTGACCAATTTTTTTCCTTTTAAAATTCAGAAAAAAAAAAAAACGTCCCTACATAAAAAGTGAGGGGTTCTAGACTACTTTTACAGTTCTACCTTAAACCTACACCTAGACCTAGAGTCGGGTGCAAATTAGACGTTTACAATTCCTCTGGGCCAAGAAATTGTATGGACGAAGACAAACCGAAACCCACTCAAGACCTAGATCAAAATTGTTCAAACTCTCAACAAATGAATTGGATCATGAACCAAAGATGAAGAAGACAATTCCTCTGGGTTAGGCTCCATCAATGTTCCCTGCTGACCAAGGTTTGATGATGTCTCGGCATGATCAATGCCTACGCTTTGCAACTTGCGAGGGCACAGGCGTCAGGTGGTGGCGTTCTTGATATTAAGGAACCAAAGCATATATAGCTATATTATATAAAATTTGTCAGTCTGATGAGTAAAGGCTGAAGGTTGAAGCTCAAGGCCAAATGGGGCGGTTGGACGTATAAAGGGGAAGGGAGGGGGTATGAGGAGTCTGTTGATGGGCTGACTCGTGAAAGTGAGCAATCAACGCCCTGCAGGTGCAGCCACCACTTTTCCATGCCTCGCGACGGGGTGCCACCCGACAACAGACGCTTGAGTGGGACCATTTGTTGGAACCTCTCTTTCTCTCTCAGCGATAACAGGGCCCCTACAATACCTAGTGGTGTCAGTATCGAATTTCAAAAGCGCCACTCACCAGTGTTACACCTAAAAAGCAATAGTTCACCTGTCTCTCAAGTTTATCCATTTCTTAAAGTTTGTATATATTACTAATCAAACTCTTTAATCCCACCTCTCTCATTTCCAATCTTAATTACATTACAACCATAATAATACTGAAGAACACTGATATTGAATTCACTGAGACTTATTTGCTTTACTTAATTTAGCTAGCTAGAATATGATTCTTTGTATTTTCTTGAACCCGGACATGTCTTACACAGTGTCTGGTTGCAAAGAAAATGGAACAAAGGAAAGGAAAACTTACAAGAAAAATGATGACCTTCCTTGGTTTAGATGACAAGGGAATCCAAAAGAGAAAAGAAACTCAAGACAGCATGAAAAGGCAAAATTTCTTTTTGACCTCTTTATTTTTTTCCTTCCAAAATGGTAAAAAAAAAAAGTAGAGGAAGCAAAATTGGCCCCGCTATCTGCTATAAGAAATTCTTTATTATAATATTCTTTTATCTCATTTTTGTTTTAATTTGTAACCCAATTAATGTAGCGTTCGATTCACATTGAAATACCACATCAGATGAAATCCAAGAATAATTTCAGTTTTGCATATATACACTGAACTGTTAGTTTGTTACCTATATGTTGTCTGTCACCAGAAATGTTTTGGATTCATTTTCAAGAAAAACCTGAACTTACCAAACTTGAATCATCTTGTTGGTAACCGTACGTATAAGAACCCATTTTAAGTTTCCGTAAAATAGAATCACAGTGAAACCATTAATGTCATGTATATGGCACTCATACTCAAATAGGGCTAGGGCTTTACTTTATATTTAGCACAATAAAAGTAAAATAAGAAACTAAGCCTCAGTTTGGAAGGAGTAGAAATAGAGTGCAAAATCTTATATTTTCTATGTATTTATATAATACACATTTGTATTTCTACTCAGAATCAGTTTTGACAATGAGGCCAGACCATTGAAGTTGATATCGAAAATGAGAGATCGTCTCACCCACGTGCCGCCTTCGTCATGGGGCTGTCCCTCAGTTTGTTCAAATCCATTACTGATGGGTTCGGAGGCACTCACGTCAAGGTATTAGGTGTACAACATTAATTAGATTTTGAGAGTATTGCAAATGTAGACACAATACCATGGGTTGGGCAAGGTAAGAGGGCTTCAACTACCTACCTTGATATTTCGAAACTGAAAGGGAGATATGTTTGCATTTCCACAAACACCTTGTAAACAAATGTGGGTAAGCTCTATTGCTGCTGCTCGGTGGGTGAGGGATCGATGCGACCACACATTACATCCTTCAATTTGCTCACAGCCTGTACTGTGTACTTGTGATGCCATTTTGTATATGCACTGTGGGAGTTGGAATTGATTATCTTCCACATCAGCCTGGTATGTATCCCCTATACGTAGTGGATTCTGAGTGAAACCGTTGGTGGTGCAATAAAATTATATTATGGATTATCTCAATTCAATATCCTCCATAGATGAGTATGGTGGGAAACATCCTACCCCTTCCTCTCCTTTACAGAAAAAAGACGCACTTTTGTCTCTCTGTGTGTGAGAGAGATTCCTTGTTTTCTTTTTCATCCCTTTAATTGATGGGTAAGGTTAGTCGGGTGGCTGCTGTCTCAACTCTCAACTACGTACTCAGCATTGGTTTTGCAAACACATAGGATTCAACATTGTTTAGCACATGGTGCTACATTTACAGCTCAAGGTGCACATGCATTTTGCGGTACTGATGCTGAGAAATAGAGAAGGTGCAGGGGGAAATTCCGCCATTTAAATACCCATAGGAAGGGTTACTTTCCAAATATAGTGCATGTTGGACGTTGCTAACAACTCTTCCTCCCGGCCAGAACAAAATTGAGGGTTCGTCACTTCGTTGGTAAAGAAATTTGCCTCGGTCTCACCAAACAAACAAACAAAAATAAAGACATTTGCATTGCTAATTTATTATTCTACTTGGCATAAAAAAAAAAAAAAAAAAAAAAAAATTAAGAGGGTGTGACAATTGGGATTGCAACAAAAGTTTCCAACCACTATTGAGCTGGGGCACTTCCTCGCATTATACAAAATTTTGTTTTTAATGCATTTTTGGATGTGACAGTAATGCAGTATCCTTACATTCTTTTTTATTTGGCTTTTAATACATTTTTTTTTTTGTCTCTCCGATTTGTATTTTTGTATTCGATTTTGCGCCATGCACAAACTCAGCATTTCCATTGTCTTGTTGGTAAACAACAATGGAACTGGACTGGCAGTGAGAAATGAGAGGGCGTCGTTTTCAGCTTTTTCCCCAAATGGACCCACCACCACATAACATAAATATAATGCTAGTTTTATTTACTTTTATCTTGAAGAAAATGAATAAAAAGGCTGTAGGGTACTTGCAAGTTCTTACATCAAGTTGAAGTTGCAGGCACCATCCATCCCCCCATCTGCATTCAAAGAAATTAAAACTAATAAGCTTTCAGTTGCAGTACAAGTCGGCATTTGTTGCTAGTTGCTGATTGAGTCTATGGCTTTACAGCTTACCCTCTGCCCCAGGGGAGTTGCTTTCGATCGCTAGACTGTTGTCAACTGCTGTCGGGGAGTTCTATTGATCCGTGATGTAGACAGACTGCTAACTCCAATGTGGGTGTCTCCATGCTTCTTTAATTTCCTCCTCTTGTTTCTTTTTGTTCTTTTTTCAAATGCCCATTACATAGCAAGTTAAATGGTGGGGTGGCTTTCTCTTTCCCTTTCCACTTTTGAAGAAATAGTTTAATAAATCAGAGCCTTAAGCTAATCAAGAGAGAGAGAGAGTGTATATGTGTGTACGGATTTGATTAGGGAATTATGAATAAGAAAATCATAGTAAAAAAATTCCAATTAATATGCTTAAGAGACGATCTCTAAACAAAATCGGAATCAAAGAATTCCAATCAAGGAACCCTCAGGGCTTGTTGATGTAAAACATCATCAACATATACAAGTGAAACAGTAGCTACAAAGGATTAGATCCCATTATCCCAATTGTAATGCATCTTAGTCGAAATCTTGAACATGTATAAATGGCATTTTTGAATCTTAATTCGATAGTTAAATGGAAATTAATCAGGCCTAAGGTGTGTGGACAGGTCAATATTTATGTCCACACTAGGACACCATTAAAAGCATTGATAGGGGTCATGTCCGGTTCAGATACATGTATGACAAAAGTGGTTTCAGACCTGTACACATCTATGACCATAACCACCCACTTATATGAATTTTAACAAAAATCCAATTGAATAACACCAAAACTTAAATTTTATTAAACATGCCTACAAGCTACAATTAATAATGAAAGGGAAGGAAGTGAATTTGCATCTTTTACCGATTGTTCATTGATTCGAACTAGGGCTGGGACCTCATTCATAA